GGCAGTGGTGTGTTAGCTTTCCTTTTGCTGAGACACAATCGTACTTAAAACTTAAAAGGAGAGGAAACTTAATTTGTCCCATGAACTCAAGGGATTCATTCAGTCTATGGTTGGGTGGTTCCACGGTAGAAACATTATGGCCGAAAGGCATGGCAAAGAAAAAGTCCTTAGTCTTGGCAATCTGGAACAGAGCAGGGGACAGTGCCAGAAAGAGGTTGGGGCAATATTTATTACCCAAGGTCACACTTCTATGACCCATTCAGACACACCAACTTATGTGATCTATCAGTCCTTCCATTGACTTTCAAACCAATCAAGTTGACACAAGTTAGTTTATTCACAAGTGTTTACTAATTTAAAAATTTTTATATGAACTTTGTGTATCAAAGTACATGGTGCAACACACATTGTACATACATTGTACTAGAGCACTGTCAGGGAGAAGAGAACTGAGCTTTTAGAAAAAGTTCTAAGAAGGAAGTAGGATTTGAATTGGAACTATAAAAATTGATAGGAGTTAGAGAAAACATGCTTAACTGCATTATCTGGAGAAATCATTGGTTTAAACATTGTCTCAGGTATTAGCAAGTAGACTCTACTAAAACTTTGCAAGATTTGCCTAAATAGAGAAAAGTAGAGGAGTCCATTTAAGATACAGGTGCAATGGATAGTAATGGACACAATAAATGGTATGGGAGAGCAAAACAAAGAGGATATTGAGATCTGTGGATGAGACATCTGAATGCATCAGTTGGTGCTACTGACATAGAATCTGAGTGGGTGTGAAGGCAAATAAAGAAGCATTGTGAGTTTCTTCTTCATCAGAAATGATGCAGAAAATAGCCTTCAAATTTTTTAAGTTCTGGCGGAGACTGAAAGTAACAACAGAAATATTTTCTATGTTTTCATCCTTTCTAATATATCTCATTTTCTTTTCACCTGCAAAGACTGAAAGATTTTGTTTTGATGTGACTCAGATCTCTTTTGTCAGAATTCATCTCTTCTGTTGCTTTCCTTCTATAAATGTGAACAATCAATCACAATATTTTTAAATGTGGTTACAGTTAGATTTTTTAACCTCTTCTGAACTTCTGCACGACATTATTGGAAACTATAGTCTTATTTATCATCATAATAGAGACCTGAGTATCCTTATCAGTTGATTTTATATTTGTTTTTTGGTATATTTGTGACACACATACCACATGTTGATTTAACAAAAGAAAAATGTGTCTCTTGGGTTGATTTAGAGGGCTAAGGAAGTGGCATAATGATCCAGTACTTACCTACTATGCATCAGACCCTGAGCTCAACACATAGAATCATAGAGAGAAATGATTTAGCTTTTGATGGATTGTTTCTGTTTACTGAATATTATGTGTTTCAGGAAAGTTATTTTGGTGCATGGGAATATAGACTGAATTTTGGTTTTAGAACCGCTGAGGTTAGCAAAGACTTCTAAAATCTGGGCGGGCTTGTCACACATTTACTTTCAATCTTTGAATCACAAGAACCAGATCTATGTGAAACTAAAGGCATTGTGCTAAGAATAATAGCAATACATATGTTAAAAATGAAAAACAGTAGTAACTTTCAAGATTGGGTAGCATTGCAAAATGCATATCAGGAACTGATAATAAGTACATGAATGTGGCCATAATTTCTCATCTGGAAAGGACAATTTCTGTTTTCATATATATATATATGTGTATATATATATATATATATACATATATATATATATATATATATATATATATATATATGTTTTTAGTTTAGAACAAAATTAATGTTAATGTCCTTTTAAGACCTGATACAGAACTTTTATACTAGTTATTTTTCAGTATGAGAATTTATGTATTTGTGGTTGTGATTTCTTTGAATTGACAATGAGGTGCACTGTGCAGGGTCTGCAATGGTTGTTGTCTGCAGAGACGGAGTGAAGTAACACAGCTCAGAATAAACCTTCCCACTGCGCCTCAGCACCGAGGGCTGGGCATTCATGTCTCCTTCAAATCCTAACACTGAACTTTCCTGACACTTACTCTCATATGGCTGGGTATTTTAAGTTGTTTATATAGAATGTAGCACACTTTAACCCACATAGCCCTGGTGATAATTGCTGAATTTCCAAATTAATAGGAAAACTGGCACAATACTAAGTAATACCAGAGTTTGTTATTTGTGAAGTGCCAATTTTCTGTAATTAGGGAAAATTGCTAATTATCACTGGAACTATTCATTAATATTTGAAGGAAGATAAAAATTGAAAGAAATGTGTTTTTAGTGGCTAAAATTTTGAAAGGCCACCTGCTGTCATCACTTTGATGAATATAAGTCTTCGTAGCTTATAAAACAACTGGGCAGTGGTAAGGAAAGTGGAAGTAACATTATTTTCCCAAATGTTTTGACGGAATGTTTTAAATGAAACACATGACTTAACTGGGAAAGTCTCTTAGTTAATCATGTAATGCTAGTACTTTTTTATGAGGTCAAACTAGCCTGCTTCATTAAATAAAGGTCACAATTCTCTACATTTATTTAGTACTATGAAAAGAGGCTCTTATTTGCAGGTTTTATCTACTATAGTGTTAATTATCACTATTATACCTCATAATTTTAGAAATGTGCTAAGCTTATGAGCAACAGCATTGAAAGTGAGCTATCATTTTCAAAGTTTATAGCATGTTTACTGCATATTGCCTTTTAAGCCTGATTTGTAAGCATGCTCTTTGACCCAGAACAAAAATAAGTATAAATGCAAGTGATATTTGAAAGAGAGTTTAAAAATGTGTGTTCATTAACATACTGGAAATATTAGAAAATTGACACACCTTTTTGTATTTAACCAATGGGTATTAAAAGCATTATGAAATATGAATCAATAATTTAGCCAACCAATATTTTCTAAGCTTCTACCCAGTGAAGGTACTTGGGCATCCGTAAAGGACTACTGAAGCCAGAGGGTTTCAAAGGGAAAAAAAAAACAAAGTTGGCAACAAAAACCAGTGGCGCAAGGTCAGTATGAACCTGAAATGAGTGAGTCTTCATGGGGCAGAACAGGAAGAAAAGTGATTAAAGTGGTACAACTGAGCACAGGGTCAGGAAAGAGGTGAACAGAATCAGGAAATCAGTGATGGAGATAAAGCTGAGAAATCGGAAAAGATGACCTTAGCTCACTGGGGCTGTGAACAGAATTCACTTTGATGCAGTACAGTGAAGACTGAGTTCCTAGTAGATGCTCAATGTAGTCTACCCATAACTTTGAGAAATTATGAAAGAATAATTGGTGAATACAGATGGAATTTTTATCTGTGACGTCAGATGTTATCTTTTTTTACAATAGATACTGCTGCTGATGATTCAAGGTTGTTTCTAGTGGACTTTAGACTTTAGTTTCACAATTTAGGTTTTCCCATGCAAACACTACCTTGCCCTGGGGGAATAACTACAGCTATAATCTAACTAACCTGCTATGCAATCCTGAGATTTCTAACCATGTTTACTCTAGAAAAGGTAAAACTTTTAAGGATTATAACAGATCATCAAGGGCAAAGGGCCTTGCAGTTACTCTGTCCTGCTCGGAAGCAGCAGTTTACATAAATATCTTCAGGACCTTCCTTATCCGATAGATCTTCTGTCACTGTCATTCTAGCATGGTGCATTTGGGATCAAGTTATAGCTTGATGTCTTTTCTAAAACTTGGCACTCAGAAATTAATGCAAGGTCCAAATGTGTACTGGTCATAAAAGTTTCAGGGAATGGTTCTTAGATTATTTCACTTCAATTTATACTTTTCAAGAGTTATGAGAGTGTCTGGCTCAAAAGAAACCCAATCTAGCTATTGTAACAGTCAGAATTCTTATCTATAGGAGAAATTCACTATACGAGTGATATATGAAGAAAAGAAGTAAGTATCTCACAGAATCTCTGCTGAGACTAGAGAATTGATCTCATAGTTTATGTAGCCAGATATAGAACTTCAAATTGTATTTCAAGATGAATCCAGATAGTGAGATCACTATAGCTGGACCCTGGAGTCCAGGGCTTTGTTTCCTCTACTATGCATTTGAAATTCAGAGTTACACCCAGAGTCATAGCTACTGCTGCTTGGGCACCACAGAGGGCTGTCCACCCCTTTCTATTTGAAATCTGGTTATGATTAGGATGGTTGTATACATAGGGCCTGTGAGGAGGACTTGTCATGTCAAAGAAGGGGGCTCAGAAGCTGAATACTCAACAAAATGACTCTTACCATGCCTTTAATACCTCACTTCATACCTTCCCACTCTTAGACTTTTAAATTTATTACTTTTATGAAATATCCTGAGATGAGGAGAAGATTAGGTGCTTAGTTTCTAAAGCGTATTTTCTTGGTAGTTTCCATATTGATTGTATGCAGGAGAAGGAATATAAAGGATATTATTGTTTTGAATACAAAGGTTATAGAAAATGAATAAACCATAAAAATCTATTGTCCCAATACTAGTCCCAGTAATATATACTGAAAAGTTTCCTAACTCTTAAGTGTTCTTATATCCTTGAGAGCTTATAGCAACAATTGAGGCAATGACTTCACAGATACGTATAAATTTCTAAGCCTTTATCTAGAACATGTAGAAGAAAAATATGTCAAATTTCAGATTCTTTTCAGATTTACAGATATTTACATGTACATAATGGTATATATTGGAATGAGACCCAAATTTAGAAACAAAATTTCACTGAGCCTTTATACGGACCTTACATGCATATCTTAAAGATAATTTTATACAATATTTTTATAGTTTTTTGTGGCTCATCATTTTAGATCAGGTGTATAATTTGGTTACAATTTTTTGTTTTGTTTTTGGTGCCAAGGATTGAACTGAGCTAAATCCCTGACCCTTAGATCAGGTGTAGAATTTGACCATTGTCATTTCATGTTGGAACTAAAAAAAGTTTCTTTTTAGATTTTAAATTTTTGAAACTAAGGATGTTTTATTTATGTTTGTCTGCAGGTCATCAAGTTGTATATATGCGACACTGGAAGCTTTTTGTATTTCAACCATATCTCATTAAACTGGCTTAGGAAAAGGTAAATAAGTGATAAGGACAACACAATATGAAACGTCAACTTGGTTTATCTTGTGTGTATAACTGGAAATTGTCTTTATTTCTAGTCTTTCCAAATTTTTGCTACTAAAAAAGACAATATGGAATTGTTCTATACAGCATTTATTTGAGAGTTTGGAGTTCAGATCGTCTTCCTTTTCACACTAACTGTGCAGTTTTATACTCACTGGACAAAATATAAGGCAGTAGAATATAGCATATGTTTGGTCATACAACATTTTTATAATAACCATGGACCTTGATGATAACTATAATACAAAGTGCATTGAGACTTTACTATTATTGTTCATTACACTGAACTTTGCAAGAATGAACTCACAAAATCTTTCCCATATCCTTAGGAGGCAAGAAATGTCTTTATCTCATTTTACATAAGAAGACACTGGTGTTGAGAGATTGAGTTATAAGCCCAAGATTCTACTTTACACTCAGAGATAGGTTCAGGGTGGGAGCCCAGGGAGCTGACCCAGTCAGCTTAGCTGACATTAGAAGATTTAAGACAATGGTTCTATTGTTTCTCTATGTTGGATGAGAGGTAGAAAACTCCGGCAGGAAAAATGCTTTTGCTTTGGTGGATGGCACTTCCCCATTGAAACTAGAAGCCATTTTACTACCACCAATTCAAGAAAATTTGTCGACCTTTATTTTTTTCTAACAATCCAATACCAAGTGCAGGGAGCAGTGTGACCATCCACTGTGAAAAATATTCCAAACATCTCAGCTGATAAATTCTAATGGAGGTCTGATGCCTTTTGTGACTTTGTTTGAATTCGTTTAGTGCAGCAAGCATAAACTGCTTAAATCTTTTACATACAGCCATTCTATTGCCTATTAATTAGAACCATCCTGTAATTGCACTGGTGCTTCTGAATTAAGTCAATATAGTTCCAGGGATAGAATCCCCTGGGGGATGGATTTCTTTATGGGAAGCTAGCGATATTAAAAGCCACAGAAGAGGCAAACAATAAAACTACTTATAACATCTACAAAACACCTCCACAAAATCTTTATACATCATTTAAAGATAAAATTCTATTCTCTTAGGTACAGATTATAAACACTTGCTGATCCACTTTCACAGATGTGTTGAATTGTGGTGTCACTGAAGATGTCTTCCAGTGTCTTTAGTTCTGTTCTTTAAAAAAAAACCCATTATTTCTTTCACCCCCTCACTCCAAGTAAGACAGATGGCATAACCTTTTTGCTTTTAAAGTCTCCTCAGTTAAAACCAGGAAAAGATCACATGTTAACCTTTGTCTTTCGATGAATTGTTTTTATTTTTTTATTTTACTAATTAATCATTACCTCATTCACGCAACTGCATTTTAGGTCATTTTAGCTCTCCCTATAGAGGGACATCAGTTATTGGCAATGCTTGTGAAAATCTGGAGAAAAGAAGCAAGGAATAAAATTGCTCAGATTTGTGAAGGGCAACGTCACTGAACATGTTTGGTGATGTTAAATCTGGCCAGTGGGCAGAAAAAAGGTTGGTGACCATCTCCCTGACTTTCCAGATCTGTTTGTTAAAGGAATTCAATGGAGGCTTGGGCCTGGGTCCCTGTTGGATGTCAGGGACTCTATTCTTTTCCCTCCCTGGCCTCCAGATGGCCAGTTAACTTCATTCCTGTCACTTTCCTTACCTGTTTGAGTCCACCCCTCAAGTCCCCATATTCTGACCACCATCCTCCTTATGACTGCCCCTTCATTTTACAGTTAATAATACAGAAGTACATATACTGGCTGGTATCAAAAGCTATCTTGGAGAATGTCATGAAAAACTCACACTTATTCATTAAAGAAAATATAACTGTATTCTATCTTATTTTGGATAACACAGCCTCAAAATGTAATCCTACAAGCATCCTTCTATGTCATTCTGTGGCCTATATTTCAGATTCATTAGCTCCTTACTCTCCAGAGTTCTGAATCAAGCATTTTACAGTTCACATAACCTAGATTTGTAACTCACTGTACACCATAAGTGGCATTCCCACAGTGAGCTTGAGTCTTGGAATCAGTGCCAGGCGCTATAGCTGTTGAAGCCATGACTCTCTGATGATGAAAGCTTCGTAGAATCCATGGCATTCTGAGGCCTCAATTTCCTTGTTTCTAAAATGAGAAGGATGGATGAGTTGGTAGTTTTTAACAATTATCTTTAATCTGTATTATCTTTCTTATCATTTATCTCCAATGAAAACTTTGAAAAGTGTGCATTTTATTATTTTTCTCACATAACATTTTTTATGTTTCAGGGTAGAGTCTACATTGAATTGGAAAAGAGGAAGAAGCAAAGGATATAAACCATTAGACAATATTGCACCACATGGCCATCTCATGATTCACAAGACAGAGAACACAGAAAGAGTAACAGGCAAATGTGCATAGTGCTTCCATCCTTGAAGTGTAGTGATGCTATTCTAGTGATGGTGTTTCGTGTTTCTTACCTCCTTTCTCCAGACTGGTTGGCCAGCCTTGAAAATGTGTGGTGCTGCACAGCTACTGGAGTCTCCATGTTGGCCCCAGAAGAAATCACAAGTGAAGTTACTGTTCAAGGAGCAAATGAAAGATGGCATCTGTAGCACGTGTTCCAGTGGAGTGAGGATGTCTGCTGGGACAGTCTGTGGTCCAGAGTTGGAGAGGATGAGCTTGATGAGATCTGATTCTCTGATCCTATGATAGTCTCCTTGTTTCTTCTCTCCTCAAGTCTCCTTCAGTTTTGTTTATCCTTCTATTTCTTCTTTCTTCATCTAAGAAAGTTGTTATAGATCAAACCCTAAGGCCCAAGTGACATCTTTATAAATTCATAGATGGTTAATTTTCCCCACTACTTTGGATGTGGCTATTTTAAAATAACACACACTGCCTATTTACATCCCTAAAACTCAGATAATTAAGAAGTATGTTGTTAGAAGAAAGATCATTTATAGCAAGCAAAACAGAGAAATGAAATTTAATTTTTCTGAGTGAAGTTCCTGACAACTCCTGAACACCATGTGAAGAAATAGAAAACCTCTCAGTGTCTCTCCTAGACAGGCCTTTGTGCATAAACTACATGATAATAAAATAATATTTGTGACTCAGATTTTTTTCTTTTAAGTATCAAGCTGTCTGGAGAAACAGAAATAAAACGAGTTGATGTCTACAGTATAACTATTAAGGGAGGCAGTTTGCACCACTGTTATTTGGATGTAATTGGTACTGAGCATCACAATGCACTTGTAATTGGGTCTGTACTTGTTCACTTCAAGAGTTCCATGTTATTTCTACTTGAACCCATTTTTTTGATACCATTCAGCTCAGCAGTGCCAGCTAACTCTTGTTATGCAGTTGAAAAACTGTGGCCATTAAAAATAGGATACGGTGTGATTTTGTTTTGCAGCACCGCATGGAAAATCAGCTGCTGTTCATAACAGCTCTGTGGTTGGTTGATTTAAAGCAGGGGGGTGACTTAGAATTGACAAGCAGACAGTTTGTGAAAAGGGATATTGTATCTTTAAGGCTTTCTGACTGATTGTGTTTAACTGTGCCACGCAGCAGGCAGTAATTAGGCTGTACCTTTGTGGAGAGAAGAGACTTAAAGCACTGGCTCGGTTTCTCAGTTCTTCAAAATTTTTAAAGAGCACAAACATTTTCGGGATTTGAATACATGATAATTAAAAAAAAAAAAAACCTGCTAGTAGTGTGTGAGTGAGCAAATGAAAAGTCCCCCCCAAGGACTTCCTCTGCAGACTTCTTCTGGGATCACTATATGCCATGGGGCCCAGGCTCTTGGGAGGCCAGACGGCCACACAGGAAAGCAGGAAGAAGCTTGATGGGAGCACAGGATGGCACTGCTGCAGAAGGTCACAGTGCTCTTGAATTGAGAGACAGTTCTTCTCATGTGACTCCATGTCTTCCAGCCCAGTTCACAATGCTAATGAGACTCTAGTTGAAACATGCTACTAAGATGGGTAGACAAAATGCCTAATAATTTTTATTTAGGAGAAATAGAAACTTCCCATCACCCAGGGGTATTAAATAAAAATAAATTATTTTAGAAATCAAACCATTATTTTGTATAAAACAATTTATTATTTTAGAAATCAAATAATCTATTAGCTTAAAAGTATTTTCCATCCACCAGTCTGCCTTCCTTACTTTCTTCTGAGACCTCTTAAAATATCTCCTCGATGCTTTAGAAAATAGTGATTGTCAGCAGTTTGTTATTATTTGCTAAAGGTTAATCTCAGGCTTGTTATTACAAAGCAGCAGCAGGAGACAGATTTTACCCTGACCTTATGAAAAAATGGGTGCTTGATTTCTGCAGAGTTGACCAGGGTGACCATCTTCATTACCAATCTGGTGACAATGGCTGAATTCCAATATATGTTGGATGCTGTACGAGTTTAAAATAGGGCTGGATATGTAGTTGTAATTTATGCATAAACTTATCATCCTCTTCCTATTTATATAGGTGAATTATTCCATATAAGTTTGGGTGCCATTTTATTCTTAGATTGCTGTTATTTTTCTTATTAATCCGATTCCTTTGTTTTTATCTTTATTCTGTAATATGAAACTATAAGTGTCTTTGCTTACCAACTCATATACTTCTGATACTTACAAATGTGTATGGATTATGGACGCATTAAGTTTTAAATAATAATTTCTCAACTTGTGGCTCATGAGAGTTTTTGATGTATCTTATCTCGTAGCATGTAGTATCGTCCTTCCTACAACATACTGAGGGAAAAGTGTCTTTTTAGAGGCTCTAGAGTTGGATGTGAAGGGAACTAAGATTAGGAATTGAGTTTTCTGATTCTTGGCTCTTTTCTGTTAACAGAAACATACAGATTTAACTCATAATGAAACATCTTCTAGTTTAAAAATAATGGGGACATTTTGGTACTTTATTAAAATGTAGAACAGAAGTTGAAACACAGGAGAAGCACCAGAAAGGAATACTTTTAAAAATATTTTCCTAGTAGTTTTAAACTAATATATTTTTATCAGAATTTAAAACATTCAGTGGCATGTTTTCTTTTGATGTTCTTTATTTTTTAATTTTCTTTGAAGATGAGTTACTTTTATCTGTTGGCTAAACTGCATTGACATACTTATCTTCATACTTCATCCTAAAGTCAATACTTGGAACGTTGATTTAAATAAAGTACATATGTATATCAAACTCTTTGTTATTAAACACATTAGGAATGGGTCCCATTACTACTTTGAATGATACAAAGATGAATTTCAGTTCACTGATCAAATTCAAATGTGCGCGTATACTTTTATATACATTCATCTCTAAATGCTGAGGTCAGTATTTCTATAAATTCCTCAGCTTGGCTCATTTTGTACTATTGAAATTGTTTTTTGGGACTGGGATGTACAGGAGATCAAAGATTAAATTGTGATTTTTTTCCAAAGTGACAATGAGTCTAATTCACTGTCAGTTAATGCCAGGTGTTTTTTCCCCTCATATTAAGTTCTTCAAAACAGTGGCTGCACAGGGCACCATTCACAGAAGCTCAGTGCTGAGGAGAAAATGATTACATTAAATCGAATGATATGAATAATTCATGACATCACATTTTGTAATCCTGGTGTTAAGCATAAAACCAGTGGTTTATTTTTCAGCAAAATGTTTTTGTATCATTTTAGATAGAGCATAATGCAAAACAATAACTGCATACATAATGCAAGAAGGATGGTGGTGAATAGGGTCCTTAATAGTGCTTGTAGCATCATCTGGGGTGTGATCACAATAAACACATTTTGAGCCAATGCCCATGGGTGCTCAATGTTTGCTGGAATCTTCTAAGGCCAATAGAATGCCTGCCTTTTAATTTGTTTTTGAATATTACACCTGACCTTTACCACAGATTTGAAAGTCAGTTCTTGTATACTGCTAAAACTACAAATCCTTTTGTTCCCTTTTCTTTCAGTTTACTTCGAGGGGAGGGCAATTCTACTGGGGAAAATAGCTGATTTTTTAAAAAATGAAGTTTGATTTTTCCAACAGAAAGTTAGAAATCCTAAGGAAATTCAGAGTCTTGACTTACATTTTTCTACAAAGAATTAAGTCTTTTGGGAGAAAATGTCAGTATTCTAGCAACTCATCCAAGTACTTAATAGGAATATAATTTATATCTGTGACTAAAGAAATGGTTCCTTTGATGACTCTTCTTTTTCCTAGAGAAAACATCTTTTCTTTATAATAATCAAAAAGACTAAGGATGCTTTTACAACTTTCATGAAACAATTTCCAGGTCATATATACTGCAGCAATACCTTAGCACAAGCCTGAATTTTCTGCTGCATTTCAGGCTGAAATAATTGTGTACCTGAACCATCTGCGGCTGGCCTTTCTAGCACCTTCCTGTGGACAGCTCCAGGGCACTCTCTGGAAGCCAGACCATACTCCTACTGATTCGCCCATATATTTATCTTGAACGAAAGAATGGGATATGCCAGTGGATTTCAGTGCTTTTCACTAACCATCCACACTGGAAGTCTCAAGAGTTTATTTCAAGCATTTGTATTACTTAAAACTAATTAAATATACTATTTATGTTTTACAACATGAACACATCTGCTCATAATGTTGTAACCTGTATTATTGCTATTTATTTGAAACAGTACATTAATAATTAATGTTTGGTAAGTAACTTTAAAATTCAATTCTATTTACAATATATATTAATCATACAAGTAGTAAATGGTTTTATTTTGAATATGTCTTCAAAAAATTTTGAAGCATTAAGTAAATTGCTTAAATTTATGGTCATACTAAGAATATTACTAAAAATCATATTTTAATGAAATGAATAGGTTATAAATGTTGCCAGAGAAAAGTTTAAAAAGTTAGCAGTTAAAAGTAAACTATTTTAATTATTCATAAGGAAAATGTTTATTGAAATTCCCTGACCCGGTTACTAGATTTGGATATAAAAGTGCTGACATGTGATATGTGGTAGCCTGAGGTCTATTTTTCTCATATTGGAGATATAAAAATACTTGGATGTAACTAATAACAGGTGCCAAACTGTGTAAAGGACATATTTTTCTGAGAAGTGCAAATTCCATGTTAGAAACACAGTGACAGAAACTGGTTTTTTTTTCTACCTTTATTTACAATCTCCTCTAAAGTTACTAGTTTTGAATAACTAACTCTAGTGTGGATTTTATCTTCACTTGGTCACTGCCTGCTCATCTTGCATCTGGCAATTCTGATGTCACAACAGAGCTGCTTTAGAGTCCAGAGATCTAAGGTGACTCCCCCTTTCCCTATATGGCTTTTTATCTGCTTTATAGAGGCTGTAATTTATTTGAGATAAAGTCTATGAAAAACAAGAATAATTGTTCATCATATAATTCCAAGTGTTAGTGGAGAGAATGATGACAACTCCACTAAAATAAAATCATATTTAACTAAATAGCAATCATCTTCATTGTATTCATTTAATGTCATAGCTATGTTATACTGAATAAAACAACACAATTTTCATAGTGTCAATTGTGTAAATTTGAGGAAATTGGTGAGTAATCTAAACGTCATCTTCATCTTTAAAACAAGAATAAAGAAATAATCTTGGATTTGTTATGGAAAATAAATGGAAGAATATAGAGGAGACTATTTTGTTATAACGCATAATGGAAATAATACTTATTTTAGCTTTTAAAAAGTTCCTTTCCCTTATCAGTTAAAGTATTACTAAAGATTTATTTCTAGTTAAATTTAATAAAAAGGCAGATAAACCTAACTAGTTAGGAGTTTCATCTATATCTTTAAACACTGTGTTAAGCCTGCCAAATAAGAGATACTGGCTTCCATGTGTATCTTGCCGTCACACACTCGCTTGCATAACCTTGAAAGTAATGCATTTTGATGAGTTGGCTATTTCTCTGCCTCTTCAGAACATATGTCAACTGAGCAACAGAGAATTTACTGTAGTAAAAGGAAAGAGTTCAGTGGATGCTTGTTCAATAATTAATGCACTGAGTTTGTGAATATTTGATAAATATTTAGTCATCTATGTGGACCAGACAGCATTAGTTGGATACTAAAAAATTTGCACAGATTAAAAGTATCGGTCATAAGCATCAGCAATAAGGATATTTCCTGTCAAAGATGTACAAAGTGTTCTACCTGGAGTAACTGTATAAATATAAATTTGTGGTTACTGGATCATATCCTTCTAGCAGGTGACAGAAGGCATAACATTGTCCTCTTCTGTGTGTTTGGCATCTCAGTTTAATTAATAGCTGTTGGCCTACCCAGGTGTTTAAGGCCAAATATTCTGATGCATATAAAATGGAAGTCTAAAATATTTACCCTACGTCCTCTTGAAATTCATGCTATGATAGTAGCAAAAGATTGCTGGATGATCCAGTGCCATACCCTGAATGGAAATAGTGTTTGCTTTGGTATTCAGAGACCAGACATTGAAAACTCATCTTAATAAACTCTTGCTAATTCTCTAGGATGTTAATGCACTATGCACAAGGAGAAAAAAAGCTCACATGTATGAATCTTTTGAGTTCAAGAAATGTAAAGCTGAATTATTGTGTAGCATAAATAAATAAAATCAGATGATTTCTGATTTCAGGAAAAAATCACATTTTATAGGTTGAATTTTAAAGTGTCAGTTTTCCTGTTGACTAAACACTAATAAATTGTATCCTGACAACGTTTCCTAGTGAAATTCTCACATTTCTTACAAACTCATGTTCTTTTTCGAGCAGCCCAGGACACCTTCTCAGTTACATCGGTGCTCAGGCTTTCCTGGGGCAGATGTAAAGAGTGGCAAAGAGAAAGTGGGAGTGGCTGCTCTTGTTGGCACCCCCTGCTGGCCATAGTAGCGCTAATGATGGCTCCAGAGGGGCCTCATCTTCTCTTTTCCAGCCCGGATGAACTGTTGCCATGGAAGCCACTGCAATAAAAAAAGAAAGGGCGCCCAGGGGCTGCAGCATGAGGAAGAAAGAGATGACCCCAGATGAGGCGCTGGAATGAGTGTCTGGATTGCCTCCTACACACAGAGGGTTGATCTGGAAGAGAACTGTTCCACCTGCCTTATTCACAGACACCATACTTTTTCTATTTCTTAATTATGACTCATTTTACCCAAAGTATAATAGTAATTTGACTATTTCTCTACAATATTTTTCTTTTACCCATCAACAACAAGCTGAATTAAGGAAAACAGGCAGTAAGAAATATCTTTAACAGTATTAGAATGCAGCTTATAGATCGAGACGTAATATTTTTAAGTTGACAAAGCTCTCTAAATTGATCTATAGATATAATGTAATAATGATCAGATACTATGAATCTGACCATTTGGCTTTTTTGTCAAAATTTGCAAGTTAACTCAAGTATGGAATTACAAGGAAATCAAAATAGCCAAAATATTCTTGAGAAAGAACAATGTAGGAGAAGTTACATTTTATCATTTCAAAACTTAAATACAAAGCAATGGTAATAAAGACAGTGTGGTACTGGTTCAAGGAGACACATGAAGATTGATGGAACAGAACTGAGAGTGCAGAAATAGAATCATGTGCCTATGTGCAAGACATTTTCAACAAAAAATGCCAAGTGGCAAAAATTCTCTTTTCAAAAAAAAAAAAAAAAAAGAGTTGAACCTTTGCCTCACACCATATAAAAATAAATTAAAATTAGATCAAAGACATAAATGTGAGATGTAAAAATCATAAGCCTCTTACAATAAAATATAGGAGTAAATTTTCATGGTCTTGGATTTCATAATATACTTTTAGATGCAACACCAAAAACACACCAATAGAAAAAAATAGATTAAGAAGTAGACAAACTGAATAGCTTCCAAATTAAGAATATTCATGTTGCAAATAAAGTGGAAAGAAAAATCAAATATTCAGGAGAAAATATTTCCAATTTAGTTGTCAATCCGAGACTTGTATTTTGAAAATATCACAAAATTTTACAATTCTGTAATAAAAATAGAACTCAAATTAAAATAGGCAAAACCAAATAAATGTGTATTTTAGGAAAATAAAAATAACATAACTTTTTTTCAATAGACGTGGCGACCCTCATATGAGGTACACTCCAGGATGTTGTATATCACAGAAAACTCACTACACTGCTGACCTTTAGGGAAGAAACTGAAAATGCATGTGCAGTAATCTCATTGGTGAAGGTTACCCAAGCAGTAGTCTCCCATACTAATAAAGCTAATGACCACCACTTTGAGTACCTCTTGTAATTGTAAAGGCCAAAGGCAACTTTTAATATCTGATGATGCTGCAATAAATTTAGTATTAAAATATTTATACAAGTTTTGCTTTTCCAGAATTGTTCATGGATTTTTGACAGACTCTGTAAATATATATGTATATGTACATTTTTATATCATATATATATATATATATATACACACAAAATGATACAAAAATGGCCAATGTACACATGAAAACATGACAGTGTTAGTAATCAATGAAATGAAAATCAAAACCACAGTGTAGTATTATTCCAAACCCATGAAATCGTACAATGAAATAGTCAAATAAATGTTGGTGAAGACATGGAAAAATTAGAACCCTTGTTTTTATTGATTCTGGGACTATAAACTGGTATAGCCATTTTGAAAATTGCTGATAATTCCTTATATTATTACCATAGGAATGCCATATGAATAATAAATACTACTCTTAGATATATTCCTAACCAAAATAAAACATGTATCTTTGTAAAATTTGTAGACAAAGGTCATTGCCACATTACCGACAGCAGACAATATGGTGAAAATAAGAAAATGTTTGTCATCTAATAAACAGATGAACAAAATATAGCATATCCATATGATGGAATATTCTTCAGCTACTGAAAGCAGTAAAGTATTGGTGCATGTTACACATGCATGAACCTTGAAATACTGCATTAAGTTAAAGAAGCCAGACACAAAATTCCATGACTTATATAATTCCCTTTATCTGAAATGTCCAGACAAGGCAAATCAATAAAGACAGAATGTAGGTTGTGGTTGTTTACGGTTGGAGGGGATGGGTAAATAGATAGGTGATAGTTAAAGGGTACAGAGTTTCTTGTTAAGAAAATTAAAATATTCTGAAATTGGCTGTGGTGATGTTTGCACATGTCTGTGACTATGCTGAAAATCACTGAAATGTATACTTTAAAAGTGTGAATTATATGGTATTTAAATTAGATCTCAATAAAGCTGTTAAAGGATGAGAAGGCTTTTACAATATTAGAAGCAGTTTATGTGGAGATAGGCCAACTCTCATCCAAACTGTGACCTCCTGTTTCCCGACCTCCTGACAGTCTTCTTTTTGGAGCTCTTTTGTTTATGAGCAGCTGCCTCCCCAACTCCTCTTCCCAGGGCCTGAGATCCTCAGTCTCTTCTGAGGCTTCCAGATACAGAGTCATCGCTGACCATTGATTTCTTCCACTCTAAAAGCTCCTAGTTTTCCTATGTTCCAAACTCTGTGCTCTCCAAGAAAATGTTCAGCATGTTTAATAAACTTAGCTGACCATCCGAGTAAAAGGGAAAGCTAGAAATCCTTATGGTTAATTTCTCCTCACAAATATTGCTAGTACATTTTGAATTCCAATTTTAAAGACCATGTGACTTTGTGCCTAGAAATTCTTTTACCAAATAGCCATCATATACCCATTCTCCTATGTCTATGCTTATTTCAAGCAAGTC